TTTTTTAAAAAAAAAGGTATCAAGCTCTTAAAAAATCACCCGTTATGAGTAGTTTTCTTTACGCAAAAAATTAGCAGAAGAGGGTTAAATCACACACATACATACATAAGTATGTATATTTCATTTTAATATTTTTAAACAATCGTATTCTAAAACATGTTTTGCCTAAAACTTTCTCAAATAACTATCGTTTCATACCCATCCTATAACATTTGACATGACTTAACTTATTGCTTAGATTCAAATTTTTAGGGAAGTGTTAACACTTTTTAAGATATCGGGTGAGATATTTAATCCAAACTTCGCAAAAACACTCTTTTGATTTATCAAAAAAAAATTTGACAAAATAGGTTTGCTAGTTTCGGAGTCTATAGGAAGGATACACACATACTTACATCCAATTATAACTACAGGCGTAGGCACTCAAGATGTTACCAATCAAAAATGCCATAGTTTTGTTAATTTTTATAAGCCTTTATTCAGCCTTATCATGAGTTTCATTTTCCCCAAATCGGTTCAATTTTCACGTTTGGTTTCCATATATTAACTATGGGCGGATGACAAATTTTCGGGTGAATTTTTTTCGGGTGAAACTCAGGATAAGGCAGAATATGTTTCAACTGTGGGTAATCAAATCTTACAATCAATAATTACCTAACTTCCTAATGAGCTAGAGAATTAAAACTACAAATTTACAGCCCTATTTCCATGCTAATGACAATCCAGCTAATGACAATTGTCACCATTAGAGCGCTTAAAATATATTTGTGGTATAGTAATTGGCGCAGTAATTGTGACAATAGTCATACGATGAATTTTGTCAATGATGTGGGAATAGGGCAGTTAGCTCAGAACCCCATGACAATGCAAAATGAAAGATGAAGTATCCCCTAAGTGCCGCAGGTGTCGAAATTTTGGGAACCCTGTACTTAGGTCTAAGACCGGTGAATATTGTGGCCATTGTTGCAAAGAAATTAAGCTGGGAAGTTTTTTCTAAAAAACGTTGAATTTCGCGAACTCCGTGCGATGGTGCATAGTCTTATTGAAACGTAAAATGTTTTCGTGCCCAAAGTTATAAAGCATCGTTTAAAATGTTTTCATCGTTTGAAATAAGGAACCATTAGATATAGTCTGAATAAAATGAAAACCGAAATTTACAATCAGCTGAATGCCTATTGGAGGAAGGCCGTCAGTTAGTCGATTAAAAATACCGTGGACCTTTAAGATTTATAAGTGCAACGAGGGGGAAAGCAATTCAGCGGGCTGTCATTCCCCCACTTAATGGGTCCATAAGTTATAAATCTAACTTCATTCGGCATAAAATAACTTAAACAAATGTTTTTTTTTACAAGTTCAACGGCATTCTACAGCCATACCCACTGCAAGAGCACCAGCTTAGTTACCCACTAATGCTGCTTAATAAATAGAGATAATAAAAACCCTACTCAAAGTAGACCCCTAAGTTCTATTAGGTTTGTTAGACCAGCAAAAACAGGCTTGCCTAGAAATGTCACTGTATTCCTGGTCAGCTACTCCAATGAGTTGCAGCTACGGCAGGATTTTTTTCTTTCGAGCCACATTCTATCTACGTGAGTCTATACAAGTCTTTGCACTCCAAATTAGTTACAATTGAAGCCAGCTTTAAAAAGTAGGAAGTTCAGACCGGGGATCCTCCACCAACATATCTACGATAAAACATTTTCATCCTGTATTGAGTGTAAATCAAATCTCATCCATTAGCGGCTAGATTGTCATTCAGTTTGTAGGAAAAAAAAAATAGCCACGGTGCTGTGTACATATGTACACACAAACGTTAGTTTAGATCTACCGGGGTTCAGTGACAGTCCTAGTAATCGCAGCGCATCCAGGCCTTCGAAACCTTCTTAATAATACTCTAAAACTGTTCGTCCAACGCCGAAACAAATTGTCGAAATGGATCGATTCACGGAAGAGTTCATGGGGCGGTCTCTGCTCGCGGGATATCCAATTCATGCAGTCTTTACGTCTGCCAAAGGACTGTAACGTCTGCAATGTTGAGATTTATGTTGACGAGGAAGTCCTCTAATAAATATCACGATTCCGGCCAAAAACTCCACTATTTTCGTCAATAGACAAGCGGTTTCGAAAACAAAAGGATCCATAGAAATGAACCGAGGGAGAGAGGGGTAGAAATATTGTGCCGCGGTGACATTATTGGGTCATATCAACATCAATTCTGTAATGAAGATGGCGAAGCATCAATCAACCAATTTCTGTGTCAATGTTTGCAGCCGAGTTGACGCCAATCTGGCAGAGGTGTCAGGGGTGAAAATGTTGGACCAACCAATTTTATTTGAGATCAAAATGATTTCAGCAGGTTAATGCTTTGATTATTCTTTCTTTTCTCTTCGATTAGGAGGCCCGGTTAGGGGAATGTATCTCTTCCTGGCATTCACTCACAGATAGTACTCATAATGGAAAAATAATCTCAGTGAATCTTTTTAATTAAATACATACATATGTAAGTAACTTTCAAATTTGTTTGTTTTATTTATTTAAAACTAACAATAATAAGATCTGTTTTAGATAAAATTTAAATTTTAAATCACAAATGTTGTTACTACAGGTGTACGCAACATGCCAGAATCTGCCTAATTATTTTGGTTTGTCGGATATTAACTTAAATATATCTATATATCTACATATGTATATGTATGTATATGTGTGTATG